GAGATACCTTGCATCTTAAGAGTTATGCTTTTCATTCTTCCTCCAGTTCCAAATACATAGACAGAAAAACACATGGGCTGGAAAACTCCATCTCGTTCTGTCTGATAGCACCTCATTACCAAAATACTCATCTAGAGGATTTAAGTTGCAAACTGATTCAAATGTTGTCCAATGTTGTTCATATGCTGCATTAAGCCAGTTTACTGAGTAAATCACATGTATGTATTTCTAAATTACGTATAGTGATTAAAATGAAATAATTAGTAGTGAACCTAGATTTAACTGACAAGCTGGGGAAAAGCAACCTCTATTATGTTACCTGACCTAATCACAACCAACATAAATTCAAGTCCTTCATCCAGACTATAAGTTAAACAAATTACATCATTGCAAAAATCAGTGCTAGCATGCAACTTTCACATATAATACACATTTGTACAATTGTACTCTACGTTATCATCATGCACACCGTAACTGGCAGAAGCTAATCAACCTTTGCAGATCTCAAAAATAGTAACAGCACTGAGACATATACTGCTCCACAGTGCTTTACAGCACTGTGTGGTTTACATCAACATATTGCCCTAACTGGGTCCTTATTTTACTCACCTCGGAAGGATGGAAAGCCGAGTCAACCTTGAGTCGGTCAGGATCGAACTTCTGGCAGTGGGCAGTTAGCCTTGTATAGTGGAGCATAGTTACACATTTGAATGGAAGACCATCATGAAACCTATATAAACTATATGCTTATCTTAAAAATGCAAAACACCCCAAAACACACTGATAAACCATCTCTGTTGTGGCCAAAAGGACAGGAATATGTCAGTGGAATTTTCAATTGATTATGACCAAAGTTTGTATTTTACACATGGCTTTCAGACATATATCATTAAATAAAAATCAAGTGGAATCTTTTTTCTTCTCTTAGGTTACCAATTTGCTGATCCTGTCAATGGAGCCCCATCTCAGTTCCTTCAGAGGCTTGCTAAATTATCTGCTCTTGAATGCACAACCATTCATGAAGAGAAAACCAGAAGAATAAGGAAGACCAAGAAACAAGAAGCATAGACCCAAATTATGCAAGGAGCAGGCTCCTTTGTAATTAGATGTTTTTGTTTGATCTCCTTTAATTGGATTGATCAGTGAACCACAATTAATGTAAAAGAAAAAATTGATGTTTAATGTATTATCATGGTTATATTGTCCAAACCAAGTTCAGTTTAAAAACTGGTTACTCAAAATGGGAGGGGGGAAAAAAACAACTTTCAACATCTAAATGCATGCATCCTTCTCTAACCCAGTGTTTTTCAACCTTTTTTGTGCAAAGGCACACTTTTTTCATGAAAAAAATCACGAGGCACACCAGCATTAGAAAATGTTAAAAAAATTTAACTCTGTGCCTATATTGACTATATATAAAGTGTTTTTCCCACGGCACACCTTACACTATGTCACGGCACACCTTACACTATGTCACGGCACACC